CGAGTGGAAGCGTTAAACATGTCGGAGAAGAGGAGGAAGACAAATCACCACCGCCGTCTACTGCTGGTCACAGAAAAACGCGCTTACCTGCTTGTCGGTGAAGAATCCGTGCGGGATGAGGAGCTTGAAGGAGGAAAATGGTGGTAGGGGTTCTGGCGGAGAGTTGTAGGGGACTAAATAAGGTCCAATTCCTTCCACTGCTATTTTGGGATGCCCGAGCTCGTGCCATCTCCCTGCTCGCATGAGCTCGGCTTCGCATTCCCCTCCCATGCACGTCGTGAGCCTGACTAAGTGGAAACGACCGATTCGATCGTTCCTAACAGGCCTGGCTGTAGATACTTTAAAAGCTTTGCTACATCTATTTAATAATTCTTTTTTTCACGGGCATATATGTAATAATTCTTACGTAAATTATGTACATGCTGACTTGGCCTGATTTGATAGGCAGATCAAAATTTGGATGCAGACCAGACCATCAAACGAGCTATTTTTACACCACGCCAGTATGGTTGATAGAGTGTGCTATATGCTATCAAACGCCTCCTAAAATGACTATTTTTTGAAGTAAATAGCATAAAACTACTACTTTATAGGCTAGGGTTCAAGAAAACTACCGATTTTTAATTTTTCTCAGATAACTATCAAATGGATGGTCGGCTGTTTCAAAAAACCCCAAATGCACGTGGTTTAAAAATTAAACTTGTTTATGATAGGCCGAGCCCGCACCTAAACGACCCGTCTCTTTGACTGTGTGTTTGACCGTTACCTGGCATGTGGGGCCCACATGTCAGTGTCTCTTTCATCAATTTTGTATAGAATAACCCCTTCAAATATTTTTAAAAAGCAATCGGGTCCCTATAATAATATTTAAAAAGCAATCGGGTCCTTGGAGTCACTGTGGTCGCGCTGCCACGGCGCTCCGCCTAGGGTCAGCACTGCGTCACATGGGGTCACCGCCGCGCGGCCATGGCGCCGCATGGGCTCTCCGCCGTGCCGCCATGGCGATCCGGCTGGTGTAGTCGCGCCGCGCCGCCATGGTACTCCGCCTGGTGTCGCCCCGTCGAGCCGCCATTGGTCGCCGCCGCGCCACCATGGTACTCCGCCTGGTGTCGTCGCGCCGCGCCGCCATGGTACTCCGCCTGGTGTCGCCCCGTCGAGCCGCCATTGGTCGCCGCCGCGCCACCATGGTACTCCGCCTGGTGTCTCCGCGTCGCGCCACCATGGTACTCTGCCTGGTGTTGCCCTGTCGTGCCGCCATGGGTCGCCGCATCTTCGGTAGGCACCACCAGCATGTGGCGGTCGCTGGCCCGGCGGTGGGCGTAGAGAGGTTCGGTGAGAAGGAGGTGGGCGGGAGGAATGACCGGGGTTGAGCCCCAGTGATCGTCGGCGATGGGTGGGCTGGCGGCAGAGGGAGCAGTTCCCCCTCGATCTGGTCCTCGTCCTCCACCTTTCGCCCGGGGGGCTTTTTAACAAATCTCTTTTATTATTTGCTCCATGGCTGACATGTGGGCCCCAGATCTCAGTTAACGGTCAAACAACCAGTCAAACAAATGGTTTGTTTAGGGGTGGACCCGACCTGTCAGAAACCGGATCAATTCTAGATAGCACGGTCTTTAGGGTTTTTTGAAACAACCGACCACCCATTTGATAGTTATCTGAGGAAAATTAAAAATCAGTAGTTTTTTGAAATCCTAGCCTGTAAAGTACTCCCTCCGTTCTAAAATAGATGACTCAACTTTAGTGCAAAGTTAGTACAAAGTTGGGTCATCTATTTTGGAACGGAGGGAGTAGTAGTTTTATGTTATTTACTCCTATTTTTTGGACCTGTTTAAGTGCAGTCTCTGTGCAATCTGTTTGAAGTGGGTACGAGCAACCAAACGCTCCCGCGGCAATCGCGCTAGTCGCCCACCCCACTCGTGTTCCGTCTTCCGTCTTCGGTTCGACGCCTCCGCCCGTGAGAACCGTCCAACGCGATGCCAGCCAACTCGCCGGGGCGGTGGGTTTTGGCTGTTACCTCGTCACACCCAGGCTATGGCACGTCGGAAGGCCGCATAACGTGGCAACCTGAGTGGGCTGAGGTTGCTTGCTCATCGGCTGCATGCACCGTTCAGCGTTCGTGCGTCGTGGGTCTGTTCGTGTCTACCACCTGTCCCGTCTGGCTCCGGCACGTGGAGATTTTCTCGGTAAGCGCATGTTTCAATTTTTTTTTGTTTTTTAACACAGTACAAACGCAGACGTTCACACGTACGCGCGTACAGTTATTCATAGCATCTCCCTGAGACCGCACCAATATAGCGCATCGCCGAAAATTTTGAAATAAATTTAGAAATCTTCTTTATTGCTTTCGACGGCATGCTTACACGTACATAAATGAACGTAAGATCACCTACTATCACAAGTCTGAATAGCGCCTCGCTTTAGTGCTTGTAGTGGTCGCTAGGTGGTCTACGAACCTGAATGTAATTTTTATTATTTCTGATGTTCGTTGTATTGCATTGATTGAAGATGAATAGCTTGGAAGTTTTCTCAAAAAAAAAGTCTGAATAACTGTTCTGATTTATTATTTCAATCCGTGGACATTTATCATAATACTCCATCCGTTCCCAAATATAAGTCTTTTTAGAGATCCTAATATGGACTACATACAAAGCAAAATGAGTGAATCTACACTCTAAAATACGTCTATATTCATCCGTATGTAGTCCATATTCAAATCTCTAAAAGGAGTTATATTTAGAAATAGGGAGAGTATTTTCTTTGAGGGAGATGCTTTCTTTTAGGAAGAATCGAAACACAGAAATAGAAAAAACCATTGGAATTAAGAACCAAACAGAGTCTTAATTGTTTTTTCTTTAGTCCCAACTAGAAAGTCCCTAGTCCCTAAAAAGTCCCTTCCTGTTTGTTTCTAGGGACTAAAAAGTCTCTAGTCCCTCACTAGAGGTTATTAAATGACCATATTACCCCTAATATACAGAAAAATAACAACCAAACAACACCATGGGACGGCGGGGCAACGGGTGTAGGGAGGGTCATTGTTGGAAAAGTCCCAAAAAGTACAAAAAAGACTCTCCTTGAGAGTCTTCTTTATTTAGTTCGAAAAAGCAACTTTTAGTTCCTAGTAGTCCCTCCTATTTGGTTAAAAAGTCTCTAAAAAAGATTTTTTCTAGTCCCTACACCAAAAAGTTTCTGGAAACAAACACCTCCTAAGATGTCGTGTTTCCTAGCCCCTTCAAGGACACCCGATAAAATTGGAACGGTATATAGCGTTGGGATGGCCGTGCACGCATGAGGATGACTAGGCGTTTAAGATGTCGTGTATCATGAATTTCTACTTAACTAAAATCACAGAAAAATTGCAAAACTGTCGTTTGGATTTCACTCTGGAAAAATTTAGAAATTGTTGGTAGAAACAAAAGAAAACACGAGGAACTTCAGGAACGTAGTAGGACAGCAACTCCTTTGATCCAAACGGCACTAATTAAAAGTTAATATATAGAAATCCTATCCATCAAAATTCTGATGCTTTTCCTTTTTTTCCAAACAAGGCCCAAATAACTAATTACTCATGGCCGTACTTTGCAATGGTTAGTTTTTGGATATAAATAGACCAGCCAACATGACACCATTCCACCCACACATTCAAGGAAAAACAAACTCAACATAAATGGCACCTACTCAAGACGAGCATAGCTCTCAAGAGTTGCTTCAGACTCAAGTTCATCTTTGGCACCATGCATTGGGATTTGTCAAGTCCATGGCACTCAAGTGTGCGATGGAGCTGCAAATCCCTAACACCATCCAACACCATGGTGGGTCTTTGACCCCTTCTGAGTTGGCCATGAAGATTGGACTCCATTTGTCTAAGCTTCCCCGCTTACTACGACTCATGCGTGTGCTCACCGTCTCAGGTATCTTTGTTGTTCATGAAGTAGCCTCCCCAGACAAAGAGGTTACTTATGGGCTTACCCCAACCACACGCCTTCTCGCTAGTGATGAAGTTAAATCAAGCATATTTCCTATTCTGTCTTTGATGCTTGGTACAACTGCCATTACCCCTTTTCTTGGCATGCATTCATGGTTCCTAGATGAGCATTCCATGTCCCTGTTCAAAAAGGTTCACGTTGACATTTGGGAGATGACTGACCAGGACAATACTTACAACCAGCAAATCAATAACGCAATGGTTTCTGATAGTAATTTTCTCATGGATATCATCTTGAAGGAGTGTGGTGATGTATTTCTTGGCATAAACTCACTTGTTGACGTCGCCGGAGGGCACGGTGGAGCTGCGAGAGCAATTGCAAAGGCGTTCCCGCAGATGAAATGCACCGTGTTGGATCTCCCTTATGTGGTTGCAGAAGCCCCTAGTGATGCCTATGTGTCATTTATTTCTGGCGATAGGTTTAAGTACATTCCACCAGCAGATGTTGTTTTCCTGAAGGTAAACTCTCCATATTTTTTCCCCTTTGCACACATCACATCCTCATTTGACAATATGCTTTCATAACTCATAAAGTCGTATATTTAGCCACTTATATATACTAATTGAACAGCTAAAATTCTTGTAACAAAACTCTACAGTTTCAAATAATATAGGGACTAATGGTAACTTTTTTTTGGCTGCTGTGCATCTTAGTGGGTTTTTCATGATTGGGGTGATGAAGACTGTGTCAAGCTGTTAAAAAATTGCAAGGCAGCTATCCCTCCCAAAGATGCTGGTGGAAAGGTGATAATCGTTGATATGGTAGTTGGATCTGGGCCAAATGACATTGTAACAAGAGAGACACAGGTTTTGTATGATCTCTTTATCATGTCTATTGAGGGCATTGAGCGGGAGGAACTTGAGTGGAAGAAGATATTCATGGAAGCTGGGTTCGGCGACTACAAAATTATATCAGTGCTGGGAGTTAGGTCTGTTATTGAGCTCTACCCTTGAACGCTCCATGAAAAGTTACGTGGTAAATCGGTATTGTATGTTAATAAACTAGCATGATCAACATGTGTGCTTTCTATTTTGTATGCCTTTGTGCAAGTGTGCTGAATAATGTACTACCTTATTGTACTTTTGTGAGGTGTGAGCGCTGTGATAAATGAAATTAGCTCTCGTACTACATAAGGAATGTGTGTAAAAGGTTATGTATGGACTACCACCTGCAGCAGGTATATATTTTATTTATGGGAATTGAGATAACATAAACTGATATTAAGATGTTATGCCCTTGTTTCAGTGCTCACTCTTGTTTTCAGCGTCAGTACCTTCGTGAATCGATGTATGCATGTGTAAGTTGTGTAGATTACTGTGTATTATGCACGCTTGAAAGTCCCGTGTGACCTCATATTTTTTCTTCCATGGATGCATTGGCGGAGCAACATGGGGGCCAACCTGGGCCATGGCACCCCCAAGCTTACAAGAAAACAGGTAGATACTGTTGGGGAACGTTGCATAAAATAAAATTTTTCCTACGTTCACCAAGATCAATCTATGAGTTCATCTAGCAACAAGAGAGGGGAGTGCATCTACATACCTTTGTAGACCGCGAGCGGAAGCGTTCAAGAGAACAGGGTTGAGGGAGTCGTACTCGTCGTGATCCAAATCACCGGAGATCCTAGCGCCGAACGGACGGCACCTCCGCGTTCAACACACGTACGGTCAGCGTAACGTCTCCTCCTTCTTGATCCAGCAAGGGGGAAGGAGAGGTTGATGAAGATCCAGCAGCACGACGGCGTGGTGGTGGATGCAGCAGGGTTCCGGCTGGACTTCGCCAAGCGTTTGCGGGAGGAGGTGTAGCAAGGGGGGAGGGAGGCGCCAGGTGTCAGGGTGCGGCTGCCCTCCCACCCCTCCTCTTTATATAG